GAGTCTTATTGACAGTATCATAAGGATGCAGGCTGTGAGCTTGATGATGAGAATCCGAATCCTGATCGCAAGACACCAGTGAGAGTATTCTAGTGCAACAGAGCTACTTGGAAGACGTAACGAGAGAGTTAGACAGCGTCAGCGAGAACTTATAGCTTTTATTAGGGAGAGAGATAGCATGCCGTATACATGTGTGTGTGTGTGTGTGTGTGTGCGAGAGATAGAGAGAGACAGAGTGAGAGAGAGAAAGAAAGCGATGGTGCAAATGAGAGATAGAAAGAGAGATAGAGAGATAGAGAGAGAGAGAGAGAGAGAGAGAGAGAGAGAGAGAGAGAGAGAGAGAGAGAGAGAGAGAGAGAGAGAGAGAGAGAGAGAGAGAGAGAGAGAGAGATATCAGACAAACACACATTAAAACATTTCCTGTTCAGATTTCTAAAACAGAATCTGACACAACTCACCTTCCTACCAGCCATGGTCGTCCCCGCGCCACCAGCCAACGAACTTCCTGACCCCACTCCATCTTTCAGGTCATGACCCCCAACAAACGTACTCCTCTCAGAGTCGTCCGTCGTCTGGACGTTGACCAGTTTCTGGACATGAGTCGTGGACTCCTCACACAAGTCTTGATTCATGATGACTTCTCAACAGTGATGTCTGGAGAAAGAATTCCAAACAGGACAGTGTCGTTATAAGAAAGTTTGACGGCATATTTACAACACAATAAGGTCATAGAAGTGCCGAAGATGAAAGGTTTTACAAGAGAATAACAAACACAAAAAGGAGAGATGAGAACGATTGATGTTTGAGAGGTAAGAAGGAGCAAACAGCACCTGAGCACCCGCCATTATTAGAAACAAAAGTCACTATTTCAGTCTGGTGCGTTAGAGGTCAGTGTTTGGAGGAGACAGGATGGGAGAGAGAGACACAGAGAGAGAGACAGAGAGAGACAGACAGACAGACAGACAGACAGACAGAGAAGAGAAGAGGGGGGGGGGACTTAAACATTATGTGTATAGAAGTCTAGTGTAAACCTGACATCTGGTGATGAAACAAACAATCAAAACAGCACCCACCCCCGCCCAGTAAAATAACTAAAACGATGATGCTCACAGTAGATCTGTTATATATAGTCAAACCTGTGCAAAACGAAGAAAGCAAACCATTCACTTCTAAGGTCCAAACTGGGGCTGATCCCAGACTTTAGACTGCCCTTCAAAACGGTTTGAGTTTTCTTTTTAATAAGGGGTGGGTGGTATAAGAAGGGTTTTGATGGGCTTTTGTTTGTTTTTGGGTGCGATTTTTTAAAATTGTATTTATTTATTTATTTATTTTATTCTGTTATTATTTTTTTGGGGATTAAAAAAAAAATTTTTTTTTTTTTTAAATTTTTTTTTTTGGGGGGGGGGGTTGGTTAGCTTTCTTTTTGTTGCTGATTTTGTACAACGGTAGAGGAAACAAAATATTATGTAAGTAAGACGATGAAAACCGAGTGCCATGATAAAATAAACACACGAGTCGCCACCACTCCGAACGTCAACGTCCATTGTTACTTTGTTACAGAATTGGTAAATAAAACAGTGACCAGTCACCTCACACACAGTTTGTGCATGAGTTGTGGGCGGGGCTTATAGATCATGACGGATCACGCTTCCCTCACCAGCAGTTGAACATTTATTGTTAGTCGGCCTACCCATTGGTCAACTTGGGTAAACATTCATTGGAAGGAGTGACAATAACGAAAGTTGAAGGAATATGACGGCCCGACCACAGCGTGAGGGGCCAATTCCAAATTTTTGACAAAGCACCGGGCAATGAGTGACCAGGCCTGGCTACCTGAGGCAGGTATAAATTTGATCGTCGGTTGATAAAATAAGGTGGGCCCAGCCGTGTTGGACAAGTGACCGTTTTACACAATTAAATTGTATAACCGCAGGTCAAGGTGCCCTATATCCCACAGTATTAAATCCACCCCGCCTCTCGCTCCAATCACAAAAGATGGTAAATTGTGTTTTTAAAGAGAGGCTCGAGCCTGAGACAAAGAAAGACCATTTCAAAAAGAGTAATAAAATCAGAATTTTAAAAAAGATACAGCCACTGGACAGGTGCGTTTAAAAAAAAAAAATCTTTGTCCTTAATAATGAATAGAATATTATATTTTATGCTATAGTTTCTGGGCACTTTCAACAATGTGAAGGTATTTGTAAATTAAGAGGCGGGAACTCTGATCCTCATAAGAATGAAGTGTTTCAGATAGGAAACAGCGACGAACGCACCAGAACCTATAGATAACAAAAAACACATCCCAAATTAAAATGATGTACGAGAAAACTAATAAGGAAATCAGTAGATCGAAGCAGCATTTCGCTAAGCTACCACACGAATCCCGCCAAGGGGCCGACATTGTGTCCTTGCAAAAGACACTTTACACGAATTCTCTCCGCTTCACCGACGAGGGCATGGGTGTTCAACTCTAGGCAGCATAAGATATGTTGTTAGATTGTGTTTTAGGGCTTGAAATCCGCTGCTTGCACTGTATACTTTAAGAGGAGCCAAGAATATTTTTGAGTGTTCAAGGGTCTGCTGGGGTAATGATAGTTATAAAGTGCATAGAGCGTGCTGTGCAGTTTGGACTTGCCCTAGACGATGATGATGATGATGATGATGATGATGATGATGATAATGATGATGATGGTATTTATCACGTGTGTCCCAGAAAGAATATCCTTTTATTATCAAAATGACCTGCTGCAAATTCATGAAATGTAAATGTTTTGGCTTTAAAAAAAATTAATTCAATGTGTGGTTTCATGGTGTTTTCAAAACGTGTAGGGTATCTAATTTTTAAAATCTAGAGACAGAAACTCCTACTGTCGTCCTTCCCCAGTATGACCTAGCAAATTTAATAAAGTAGTAGATCTAGTGGAAATTCCTTCCCCAATTTCAAAATGAACAGTTTCAGATTCGAATCATGGTCTTCCATATTCAAAAATATAACATCTAACCGGATGATGCACTCAATAAATAGGTAGAAGAATAAACAGATAATAAAAATTGGAAACAAATAAAATAACAACTATAATATAATAAGAGACCACCCACTGTCTCAAGATCACAATCGAAGAAATCGCCTGAAAACTCAGAAATGAACGCAAGTGTCTATGACGAATAAAACACAGAATAGCAAGACGTCTACACACGCTGATAATCAAATCGAGAATGTCAAAGAAAATCCAAAAACTACTTGCTCGAGCCTTGTTGTACGCTACTTTGCTGCACGTTCCAAAACACAAAGAAAACTAAAATTTTACTTCCTATCGTCAGCTGATTACACGCCAATAAATGGTCACGGACATTGCCACGCCCCCAAGGCGCACCTCTCGCTCGCCTCTCACCCACTGACCAAGAGGCCGAGGCAGACATGTTTTTTTTTGTGTTTTTTTTTTGACAAAGCGCGACAAGCGTTGTTATGTAATTATAAGTTGGGTTCACACCTGACGAAACCTCTACAGTTTCTTTGCAGACTCCAACTGCTCTCGTTGGTAGTGGCTGCCATTGATCGAATTAATAATGAGAAAGAAACCAAAAAATCTACTGTTTCGAGCCTCTCTTTGAAGGTACGCTACTTCGGTGAGCAGTTCGAAACACAAAGGAGGACCAAAATACCTGTTCTCATAATGTTGTCAACAGACTATGCCTAAAACTGCTGACAACTGGAAGGGAATTTTTGCGAGAAACGAAGAAGAACCACTGGCAACAAAAATAGTTTGCCCATTAAGCCGATCGATAGCTGGTGGCTATTTGTCCCTTTAATAGGAAGAATGCGCTTTTTGACCACGTGGTACATTCGTTAGAATTGGAGTTTAAAAATATATTTAAAAGGCCCCTCGTTTCCCTTTCCATGCAAAAAAAAAAAAGAAAAAAAAAAAGAAAAACCAAAATCTGGCTGTCCCCGACTGCGTCTAAATTAAATGAATATACAATGTAATTGAGAGTGTGCACTGAAACGTTAGCTTTGGTCAAGATGCACTCTGATCCCCATTGTTGAGGAAACCACAGCCCTCTTCCCCATTGGTGTTTGAATTGCAATCACAAAGGATGCTCTCAGCTGACAGAAACTGCCGGGAATTGACAAAACGTGGGCGCGATTAATAAAACCTGGACCTTCACTGATGCTGAAACATGTGCGATGGGTCGTGACAGGTGTGTTCACAAAAGGCCACAGCCGGTCCGGCTGATTTTTACGCTAGGTAACCATTACACAACCGGGCGGCGTTTTGCTCCTTGTGTTGTACTATTTTTAGCTGACTAGCAGGTTTTGGTTAAGGCTATAGTGGTGTGGTTATTGTACAATATGAAAGTCTTTCTTTAAACCCCTCCCCCCCAAAAAAACCCCAAAAAAACATGTCTATTAATTTACACATTGTAATCTAATTACAAGCATCCTCCAATCCAGCCCTTCCTAAAGTATGACAAATCTTGTCTGCTGTTGGCATACACAAGATCAACATTGCGTCTACCAGAGCACGTGGGTAGAGTTTGTTCAATTGAAGTTCAAGACGTCACATAGAATAGCATTTGCAGTTTTCAGAATATTAAAGTTAATAAGAGCAGCACTTCGCTAATTTGATAAAATAGTGGGGGAAATAATAGTGGGGGAAATTTTTCGACAATTTCAGAATGAAGCGTTTCAGATTTGAATCATGGTCATCCTCAGCATAATTCGGAAAAGTGACATCTAACACGACGATGCAGGTAAAATAATAAACAAATATTAAAAACTGGAAACATAATATAACAAAGAAATAACAAGTGACCACCTACTGTCTCAAGATCACAATCGTAGAAATCGCTTGAAAACTCAGAATAGAACGCAAATCTCTATAATGAATGAAACACAGAATAATAAGACGTCTACACTCGCTGATAGTCAAATCGAGAATGACAAAGAAAATCCGGAAACTACTGGATCGAGCCTCTCTTTGAAGGTACGCCACTTCACTGCATGTGTCAAAACACAAAGAAAACTAAAATTTTACTTCCTGTCGTCAGCTGATTACGCGCCAATAGTTGGTCACGGACATCGCACGCCCCCGAGGCGTACGTCTCGCTCGCCTCTCACCCACTGACCGGGTGGCCGAGGCAGACATGTTTGTTTTTTGGGGGGTTTTCTTTTTTGACAAAGGGCGACAAGTGTTGTTATGCAATTAAAAGTTGGGACCACACCAGACCAAAACTCTGCAGGGTTTTTTTTCTTCAGATTACAAGAGTTATCGTTGGCAGTGACAGAATTAATAAAACATTGACCTTCACAAATGCTGAAACATGTGCGACGGGACGTGACAGGTGTGTTCACAAAAGGCCACAGCCAGTCCGGCTGATTGTTACGCCAGGTAGCCATTACACAACCGGGTCGCGTTTTGCTCCTTGTGTTGTACTGTTTTTAGCTGACTAGTTCAGTTTTGGTTAAGGCTATAGTGGTGTGGTTATTATACACTTTGAAAGTCTTTCTTTAAAAGGAAAACCCCAGGTATATTAATTTACACATTGTAATCGAACTACCAGAACCCTCCAATATAGCCCTTCCTAAAATATGACAAATCTTGTGCGCTGTTTGAATACACAAAATCAACATTGCGTCTATCAGAGCACGTGTGTAGAGTGTCATCAATTTAATTTCATGACGTCACCAAGCAAAGCACTGGTAGCTTTCAGAATGTTAAAGTTGATAAGAGCAGCATTTCGCTAATTTTATAAAGTAGTGGTGGAAATTTATCACCAATTTTAGAATGAAGCGTTTCATGTTTGAATCATGTTCATCCACAGCAAAATTCAGAAAAATGATATCTACCGCGACGATGGAGACGATAAATAAGTAAATGAATAAACAAAATAAAAACTGGAAACATAATATAACAATGGAATAACAAGTGACCACCTACTGTCTCAAGATCACAATCGTAGAAATCGCTTGAAAACTCAGAATAGAACGCAAATCTCTATAATGAATAAAACACAAAATAGCAAGACGTCTACACTCGCTGATAGTCAAATCGAGAATGACAAAGAAAATCCTGAAACTACTGGCTCGAGCCTCGCATTGAAGGTACGCCACTTCACTGCATGTGTCAAAACACAAAGAAAACTAAAATTTTACTTCCTGTCGTCAGCTGATTATGCGCCAATAGTTGGTCACGGACATCGCAACGCCCCCGAGGCGTACGTCTCGCTCGGCTCTCACCCACTGACCGGGAGGCCGATCCAGACATGTGGTTGTTGGTTGTTGTTTTTTTTTTGGGGGGGGGTTCTTTTTTGACAAAGAGCGACAAGTGTTGTTATGCAATTAAAAGTTGGGACCACACCAGACCAAAACTCTACAGGGTTGTTTTTTTTCTGAGTTAGTGACAGCTAGTGGCGGGATTAATAAAACATGGACCTTCACTAATGCTGAAACATGTGAGATGGGTCGTGACAGTGTGTTCACAAAAGACCCCAGCCAGTCCGGCTGATTGTTACGCCAGGTAGCCATTACACAACCGGGCGGCGTTTTGCTCCTTGTGTTGTACAATTTTAGCTGACTAGCTGGTTTTGGTTAAGGCTATAGTGGTGTGGTTATTATACACTTTGAAAGTCTTTCTTTAAAAGGAAAACCCCAGGTATATTAATTTACTCATTGTAATCGAACTACAAGAACCCTCCACTCCAGCCCTTCCTAAAATATGACAGTTCGAAACACAAAGGATGACCAAAATACTTGTTGTCATAATGTTGACAACAGACTACGCCTGAAACTGCTGACAACTGGAAGGGAATTTTTGCGAAGCAAAAAGAAGGACCACTGACAACAAAAATAGTTAGCCCGTTATGCCGACCGATAGTTGGTGGATATTTGCCCCTTTACTAGGAAGAAGGCGTTATTTAACCACGTGGTACATTCATTAGAATTGAGAGCTAAAAATAGGTAAAAAGTCCCCTCGTTTCCCTTTCCAGGTACAAAAATAAACAAACGAGCTAAACAAAAACCTGGCTGTCCCCGGTTGCGTCAAAATTAAATGAATTCAATTGAGAGTGTACACTTAAACGTTAGCTTTGGTCAAGAAGCGCTCTGATCCCCAGTATTGAGGAAACCCCCTGCCCTCTTCACCATTGGTGTTTCAATTGTAATCACAAAGGAGGATCTCAGCTGACAGAAACTGGGCGGGAATTGACAAAACATAGGCGGGAATTGATAAACCATGGACCCCTTCACTGATGCCGAAACCTGCGCTATGTGTCGTGACAGGTGTGTTCACAAAAGACCCCAGCCAGTCCGGCTGATTGTTACGCCAGGTAGCCATTACACAACCGGGCGGCGTTTTGCTCCTTGTGTTGTACAATTTTTAGCTGACTAGCTGGTTTTGGTTACGGCTATAGCCACTGTGTGGTTATTGTACACTTTGAAAGTCTTTCTTTCATAAAATAACAACAACCCAGGTAAGTTAATTTACACATTGTAATCGAAAAACAAGCACCCTCTACTCCAGCCCTTCCTAAAAATATAGCAAATCTTGTCCGCTGTTGGAATACTCAAGGTCAACATGGATCTATTAGACTACGTGTGTAGAGTGTCATCAATTTAAACTCAAGACGTCACAAAGCAAAGCATTTGCTGCTTTCAGAATATTTAAGTTGATAAAAGCAGCATTTTGCTAATTTTATAGAAGAATTGGTGGAAATTTCTCCCTAATTTCAGAATCGAATCATGGTCATCTACAGCATAATTCAGAAAAGGGACATCTAATATGACGATTTTTCCAAAAAATAAGTAGAGGCATAAACAGAATAAAAACTGGTAACGTAATATAACAATGAAATAACAAGTGACCACCTACCGTCTCAAGATCACAATCGTAGAAATCGCCTTAAAACTCAGAATAGAACCTAAGACTCTATGATGAATAAAACACAGAATAGCAAGATGTCTACACTCGTTGATAATCAAATCGAGAATGACAAAGAGACCCCGAAAGCTACTGGCTCGAGCCTC